AATATATTTTTGAAAAGCAATCTGAGAATTAATTATCAATAAAAAATGCACATATCCTCTGACTCAGCAATCCCACTTTTAGGAACCTTACTTACAAAAATAAAAGGATCCATATGCAATGTTATATTTACAAGGAAGTTTACTGAAGCACTGTCTGCAACAGCAAAACAATTCCCGGAAACTACCCTGAATGTCCATTGTGGGAGATCAAGATTTGGCCACCCTGAAATATATCTCTTTACCTTGATTGTTTTCTCTGAAGGACATTTGACCTCCCCCACTAATTGCCTAAAGAATTTGACATGGTGGCTCCTTCCTGGAACAGATCTTCTATCATGATGGCTGTAAAGATAATGTAGGGTAGAGGTTACAATAGGAAAGGCACCAAGCCCCTTTTATCAAAAACTCTGTCTCTCCCTGACCACATTATCTATAGATGACCCTGAAAAGAATTGTCATCCTTAACTCTGAAGTCCCAGGCCACTACCCACCCCCAACATGCTCCTCGCCTTTAGCTGCAATACTTAAGCAAGCAGCCTAGACAGAGGGTCGAGTTGCTCATTTCTGAGTTTCTCCCATGTATACATGTTAATAAACTTGGTATTATTTTCTCCTGCTAACCTGTCTTGTTAATTATTTGGCCAGCCAGAAGAACCTTAAGGGAAAGGGCAGAGGGAGATTCTCCCTCTTCCCCCAATACCATCAATAGGGGAATGGTACAACCATACTACAGAATATCTATATTATGGAATATTCTGCAGCTACTAATAAGAATGAAATAAATCTATATGTAAAGACCTGAAAGGATATCCATGATATATTCAGTAGAAAATAGAATAATCCCGTCTGCAGGTAAAAAAGATAAATATTCACATTTTTATTTGTAAGAATATTGAGAAAAAGATGGGGAAGCAGTTAATACCAGACAGTTGATACAACTGACCTCAGGATTAGAGGAGATTTAACTTTTCCCAACAAGTAGGTATTACTTTTGTAACTTAAAATAGAAAGGCAAAAATAATGAGGAAGCTTTCAAAAGTAAGCACAGTAATATCTGAATATATTCTCCCCTCCTCCGAGTTCTTAACAAAAAACATCCTACGTTACAACCACATTTAATGAAAAGGTGGTGCTTTAGAAGAGTCAAGAATTCTGTGGACTCTTTTACATATAAACTTTCTTTTTTTAAAAAAAACCTCGCTTACGAGAAAGGCCAGTTCTTAAACAAGCTTAATGTCCAGTGGATCTTCCTATCTAGTTTCTTCTATGAGTGGTAATCTGCTTTGGGGATTTGTAATCAAGACCCTGGAAATTTTAGAATGCTCAGCAGATACCATTTACTCACTGAGAGTAAACAGAAGTGTTACATGAGAAATCTGAGTTAAGACAGAGCTAAGTCTGATCAAACACTTCTATCCTGAAATTGGGAGAGGTAACTGCTACTTGGGCGCCCCCTGGGGACCAAATTTAAAATTTTTTTACATCTTTGGGACAAATTAGTGTCCTCTAAAAACATTCATTCAAAGAATTCTTAAGCACCTACTTTGTGCCAGGCACAATGTTCAACACTGGAGACACAAAGATAAATAAAATCAAGTTTCTGATTTCTACATGCTTAAAGTCAATATCACCCAAAACTTTCTAAGCACAGTAGGTAGGATGGCCATACAAAGTTTGAGTTACCCACACAGGCCCTGGAGGAAGTTACGACACAGAAGATGATAAGAATGTTTTTTGGGTGCTACAGAAAGCAATTTGGCATGGATATAAAAGCTTTAGCATAATTTGTTTATGTAGGCAAAATATTCACCATCTTTAAAAGAGATGAGGTTTAAATATCCCTTCCAGCTAACACATGCAAAATTGTGGTTATTTTCAAAGACAAGTTTAGGTTACAGCATCATAATTTTTCTTGGGCAAAACAATATAAATAAAGCTTAATTTTAAAAATTCAAAAATGATGCAGTATCCTCTACCACGATTTTTTACTAACAAGTAAGTTATTCCACAATAATAACTCCACTCTGAGCACTTAACTCTAATATAATAAAGGATTGCACTGATTTAGAAAATGGCTAACTTCCTAAAATAAATTGAGTATGAGAAGACACAGATTTAGAAACAATTAGTTAGAAAATAAAACTGAAAAAGACCAGTACAAATAAACAGGCAAAGTCAACCCAAAAGCCTCCCTCAAACCTTTCCTTCCCAGTTCAGAACACTTTCAGAAGATACTGTAACAGATTTGCCTTTTCTTCCTCAAGGTCTGAGAGAGCAATTAGCAGAGGTAGAATTCACCTCCAGAAAATAAAAAAGTACCAGTTTCCCTCCAGTTACATCTTCATCAGTAACTGCAACGCCCCAGGACATCAGACGGCCAGATATTATCAGTTTCTGTAGCCAGGGCCCAAAGATGTACTTCTGGCAGCCTGAGTTGGAAATCAATGTAATCTTCCCAAAGCAACAATTCTATTTCAGCCACATTTCAGGTACCCTATGAGCTATATTAGCACTAGCATTATAGTTAGGGAAGTAACCTTGATTTATTTATAACTTTTTCCCTACAGAAAAAAACTGAGTTCCGGGGGGGTTCACAGGTTCTGATCCTGGGTGCGCCACCGATACGCCGCTTGTCAAGCCATGCTGTGGCGGCGACCCATATAAAGTGGAGGAAGATGGGCACGGATGTTAGCCCAGGGCCAATCTTCCTCAGAAAAAAGAGGAGGATTGCCATCGGATGTTAGCTGAGGGCTAGTCTTCCTCACAAAAAAGAAAAAAAAACCACACGAACTGAGTTCTAAAAATTACAATGTTTGAGATTCAGCTTATGTTTGCCTATATAATAAAATATTGAGTCAAAATACAAGAGACTCACAAAGGAAAAAAAAAACTTCTGACTTAACTGACCATAGACATTCCATTGTTTAATTCATTTAGTCAAGGGATGGCAACTACCAAATTATAAACTATTTGGAATTTGTAGACATCACCTTAATAATATTTATGGCAATTGGAATCAAGAGCAACTATTTTCATGAAAGATGACAGTTTAAAGCAATTTAAGCTCACATAATTGCTGAAATTTTAAAGAATAAGATAATACATTATAGAACATATCTCATCATGGAAATCTTAACATTGATAATTAACAGGTTTAAAATACTATCAGCCATTACTGAACAGAGTAAAGAATAAATGCTAGTTACAGAATGTGTAGATTATTTTTAATCCAGTGGAGTAATACGGGTATTGTTAGTTTGGGTGTGGACATTTAAGGCCACGTTATGATTCAGAAACAAAATATTTAAATGCATTCTAATATAAACAGTCATAAACCAATGTTTACAAAATAATACTACTTCAAAGTAAAAATAACCAATCTCATAAATTAAGAACAGGAAGTCTAAAATGAAAAAAAAATTATTTGCATCTGTGTGTTACCTCATTTAACATTCACAAATACAATAGTAGATAGGTATTATTTCTCCCATTTTATAGAGGAATGCAAGCTAAAAGTAACAACTTCTCTGGGACTAAAGAAACAGTAACTGGCACAGTTAGAGTTTGAACCCATATCCGACTCTAAAGGCATTTCTCCTTTCCCCCATCATCTTATTTGCATGTAAGAGTCATTTCATATATAAAACAAAAACTTGAAATCATCCAATTGTCACTTGTCTTTTAAAAAGTGAAAAGAACCAAAAGAAATAAGGAGAAAAAATTTATGTATTTTTGGTTCAATGTTTCACTTTTTTTTCCCTAAAAACGATCAATAATTATAAATACAGCCGTACAACACATAATGAAGTAGATGTTACCATCAGACTTTTTCTGGATGCTCTTTAGAGAATAAAATATAGGACAGGAGTGGATTGTATGAACATAGGAGAGAAGTAAAAGCCCAAAGCTGATAAAAGCCACATCCCGGAACAGAGGAGGGAATTATTTTAGAAGTTCTGGGTCAAAACTTTTGTTGGTCACCGAGTTGCACAGGGATTGTTTGGGTGTTTTACAGCGCTACTGTGGCCTCTTCTGCTTCTAGATATCTTGTTTTCCTTCTCTCCCAAACATTCCCCAGATTCTCCCATAAGCCTTTCTCCTCACCGCGTCACTGCAGCTAACCACGTATCTGTTCGAAAATTAACGGAACTTAACTGGTAACCTCATCACACCTTGAAGCAAAAAAAACCACACAGTTTTAGAGTTGGGAGCTATTTCATACTGAGTTTAAATCTGGGAGCACAGACTCTTATGTTCTAGATGGGGCAACTGAGACTCGAGAGAGGAAGTGACTCGGCCATGGACAAAGCGTGAGTTGGCAGCAGGGACAGAGGTTGAAGCTAGAACTCATACTACTCCGTGGCTTTTCCAATCACATGAACCAGCCTGAGCCTCGGAACTGGTACTGCCGTGGAGGGGGCCAGAAACTGCTGGGGGCAGATCACAGAATACCTAAAGGAACACCCTGTCCCCCGGGGCTCCTTTCTAAGCTAAAGACTAACTAGTTTAGGGGTCGCAGTTTAGAGGGCCTGAGGGAAGGGATGGAGTGGAAAAACCGGTCTCCGCTTCAGGCAGCTGTGGGCGCACACGGTTTCTATCCGCGCTCCTGCTGCCTTCACCCATCCCACACAACCAGCGACCCACTGCCCTCTGCGCGCTGGAAGTCCCCGGAGGCTGATCCTCCCGTGCTCCCTCTCGCAGCCCACTCTCGAGACGCACTTGATCCCCAAAATGTAAGGAAAGAGGGGCGCGGGAACAAAGCGACCCCAGGCGGTCCCCTCCATTCTGGGCGGACCCGAGAAGGGCAGATGTGGACTACCAGTCCCGACATGCCGCGCGCCCGGGGACCCTTGCCTACCGCCACGCAGGCGGCGCGACGGCCGCCGGGACTTGTAGTCCCCGGCTCCGGGGGGGGGGCGCATACCCCCCCAGGCGCGGCGAGACAGGCCGGCCCGGCGTCCGGTCAAGCCCAGGGAGCCCGCCAGCTGCCCGGGCCTCACCTCGACGATGCGGGCGCACTGGGTCCCCTTGCCGGCGCCAGGACCGCCGAGGACGAACACGACCAGCGGCTTCATGAGGCGGTGAGGGCAGAGAAAGACCGGCCGGCGGGTCGGCAGCGGGAAGCGAAGGCCCAGGACGTGCAGCAGCCGGCGGGCGCAGAGGCTCAGCATACACCGCTGAGGGCGCTGACAGCGGCCGGGCCGGCGAAGGCGCGGGGCGGGGCGCGGAGGAGGGGGCGGGCCAAGCCGGCGCCCGCCACGGCCCCGCCGCCGTGGCTGCCTGGGCGTCCGCGCCGCGGCCGGAAGTGGCGGGGCTTCCGCTGTCGCTCCGCGGCTGCGCATCGGGTGCCGCCGCGGGTTCGCGCCGCCTCTGCTCCCCGCCTGTCTGCTGGCTTGTTCATCCGTTCTGTGCGCGAGTCCTTTATCCTGCGCTTTAGGGTGTCAGGCCTGTGCTGGAGGCTGGGACGTGACACATGGGAGAGCAAAACCCATTGTCTCCGGTCGCCATGAGTTTAAATTCCAGTGGGGAGACAGCCCACCTGAACAAGTCAACGCAACAATAAATAAATAAATACAAATGGCGATACAGGCTTTGAAGGGGAAAAACGGAGAAATAACAAGGGATGAATGTCATTTGGGAAAGGTAGTCACAGAAAGCCTCTGAAGTGGTGACATTTAAATCAAGACATAAGGAGAGGAAAGAGCAAAACCAGGCAAAGACTGGGATAGAGTGTCCCACAAAAATAGAAAAGCGTGTACAAAAGCCCGAAAGCGGCTTGTGTTAGAGAATGCCAGTGCGACCAGAGCTGTATGAATGAGAGAGAGAACGGAAGGTTGGGAGAGTTCGGCTGGTGGTAGGTCCTTCAGGCCCTTTGGTTTTGGAAGGCAGTTTGGATTATATTCTAATTGCAATGGGAAGCCCTTTAACCGTAACTCTATTTCCCTGCTCCCTGCTTGAGGGAAAAATCTTAAGGGAGAAGAAAAGGAGTCCAAGGAATGAGCCTTGGTGAACACAGATCTTTGAAATTTGGAGTGAGGAGGAGGAGCCTGGGAAGGAAGAGCCAGAAAGGTAGGAAGAAAATCAGGAGAATGTGGCATTCCAGCAAAGAAAGGAGAGTGTTTGGGGTGGGATTGTGGTGGTGTGGTTGTGAACATTGTCTTAAAAGCAGATGAGTACAGATAAATTGGATTTGGCAACAGGCTGACTTTCGACCTATGAGGTCTACAGTTTTGCCCAAAGCAGGTCACACACTATATTTAATTTGAAGCTGGATTGAAAGGGGAGTGGATAGGAGATGAGGAAATGAAAATGATAGAATAAGGGGTCAAGGCAAAGTTTATGTAGGATGAGAGAGAGTGTTACTGAAGCAGGTTCGATTTTGCCTGTCGCCCAGAAAGCAAAACACTGAGAAGATGAGACTGCAGCAGAGAGAGGGTCTTAATCACAAGGCAGCCAAGCGAGGAAGCCAGAGAATGAGTCTCAAATCTGCTTCCCGGAAAATGGGGACTCAGGGATATTTATGGGGTAGGGGGCAAGGTGGTCTGAAGTGTGGAGATAGATGATTAGAGGTGAGGTAATTGATGATCTGCACAAGTGTAGTCAAACTTCATGCCTCTTCATAGAACATGCGTTCACAAAATGCTGGTGTTAGCATGATCTGAGGGTGGAATTTTTAGCCTCTTGACATCAAAAGGTCACTTATTGGGCATCTTCGTGGGCCTGGTTAATGGGTTGGTGGTCTAACCAGCCTGAATTGGACAAGGGGGTCCTAATTCCTGAAAAACAGCTCAAACACCCATTACCGTGGTGATCCAGGCGCCAGGGAGATGTTATCTACGGGAACCTAGTGAGAGTCAGATAGCATGTTGCCTAAGCAGCACGGTTAACAATGGGCCAGTGAACAACTAAAAGCTATAATCAGTAGTTGCAAAAAAGAAAAAAACTTTGTTACTAGCTACCTAATCATCAATGGCTAACTGTGTACTGGTTTCAGTGGGAGCCATGCTATCTAATAAGGTAGCCACTAGCCACCTGTGGCTATTTAAATTAATTACATTAAATACAATTAAAAATTCGGTTCCTCAGTCACACTACATTTCAAGTGCTCAAAAGTCACGTGTGGCTAGTAGCCATTGTATTGGACAGCAAACATACAGAACATTTCCATCGTGACAAAAAGTTCTATTGGGCAATGCTGTGCTAGTAATGGGCTAAGCTACTAGGAATGATTTTATAGAAAGGGAGAGGTAACTCCCTGAGAAGAAAAATCAGATGTGTTCCAAAGGGCACATGGAGGGCCTTAGATGACTTAAAAGGTCTTAGAGACGAGCAAGTTCATCTGTAGTAGCAGTTGCAAGCAGGGTACAGTTGCAGGGAAGTTTGAAGGTAAGAAAGGTTCCTGTCTGATTATTTTCTCAGTAAAGAAAAGGCAACATCAGCTGAGGGCAAAGATAGTGGAGTAGGTTGTTTGAGGAGAGAGAAGTTATGAAATAGACATCTTTGATAGTAGAGATGTTGGTTTTCTCATGAAAACTAATCAGTAGGACTTCTGAGCAATATTAAGAGCTCATTTGATATTTGAAATCATGAATTTAAAATAGTTGAAGATGTTTGACTGTTCGGGTGCAGGCAAAGAGAAGACAGATTGTTGAGTTCATCCAGGGTTGGAATTTTGCCAAGCAAATACAACAGAGGGAGAGAGGGCCAAGAGGGTGTTTGCAAGAGAATGTTTATGATAATGTAGGTAGAATCAAAACCATATAGAAAGCAAATGATGGTGTCTGAGGGCTGAGAGTGCAGATGTGGAAGGGAGCTGGGAAAGGGGCCAAGGTGTTAGAATCATTCATGTTGAAGAATGGTTGCAGTGGGGTACTTGAGCAAGTGAGCTGGCAGTACGGATGCTGGTGGTCTGGGTCGGGTATTTGGAATTGAGATTTCAGAGGAAGTGAGTTTCTGGTGATGCTGAGGTCCAGGGTGAGCCCACGCAGGGTGAGACCACAGGAATGGAAGGCTGAGGCTGATTGCATGCCCTGTTGGTAGAACTGGAAGCCACGCTGTTAGATTTATCATCCAAGTAGAAATTTAAGTGAGATAGTATTGGTGTGAAGAGAGAGACTACAAGAGAGGAACTGAGTTATTGAGGGCCAAGTGACAGGAAGGTTGGTAAATGACAGCAAACGGGAAGGGAGGATGGTGGTTTAGTCTTCTGTCCTGCCATGCCCCCTTTCCTTCTACCTCTCCTTTCCTCTTCCTGAGCAGTATTTCCCACCTCCTCTCCATCTGACTCTTTCCCTCTCCTCTTTTTTTTCACTTATTCCCAACCCTCCTCCCCTTTTTTTCCCATTTCTGACTTTCTCCCCTTCTCCCCATCTATTTCTCTTTTCCTGTCCTTCTCCCCACTCTCTTTGCTCCTCTTATCCTTTCTCCCTTCAGTTCCTACTTACTTCCTTTCCAAAATTTCTACCTTTTCCTTCCCACCATGGAGGGAGAAATGGAATGTCTCAGATTATCACTGCTGGAGAAATCTTATTATTAATAACTTATTATTCGTATTGCTTCAAAATATTCCCTTTTTTGATTGTTTATTGAGGCCTATCGTAACTACTATGTCATTGGCCTAGTGACATAGATGTTACTATTACACTCATTTTGCAGATGAAATAGAAGCCAAAAGTTGTGATATAGGTTTTGTGGGCCATACCATCTCTGTCGCAACTACTCAACTTTGTCCTTGTGCAAAAGCAGCCTCACACAATACATAAACCAATGAGCGTGGTATGTTCCAATAAAACTTTTTTATGGACACTGAAATTTGAATTTCATATAATTTGCATGCATCCCAAAATATTATTCTTTCTTTTATTTTTTTCACTTATTTAAAAATGCAAAAGCCATTCTCAGCTTGTAGGCTACAGCAAAACAGGTGCTCACAGGCTATAGTTTGCTGACCCCTGACCTGGCAGAATGCCTGGTGTTAGAAGTCCAATCCAAGTTCAGAGGAAGGCTCTAAACCTTTCACCTTCCAGGCAGGAGCTAGGACATATGTCAGCAGAAAACAAGAACAACTGGTCATATTACTAAAAGGTAGTAGGAGTACAAAAAAGGCCATATTGAAGCAAATGTGCCTTCTTTTCCTTTGTGTGTGTTCTCTTAACTGACTGTTCTGTATCTCTTCTGGCATAATCGTCAGAGTTGAAAGATGTCAAGGGTATGAGGTCCATGGAAAAAGGGTCTAGGAAGCTATTCTTATGCTTTTAATGAAGGCCTTAGGCCCTATTCACATACTTTTAGCGAAGGCCTTAGGCCAGAGACAAAAAGACAATCTTTCTTGCTCCCATGATAGAGTCTACCAGACCTAAGGATTCCACACAGGAGGTTGGGTCCTAAACTTCATAGTATACCTACCTACAGCAATATGTAGGGACTTTCCTCTCTCTGTCTCCCTGGAGAACTATGACTACAGTAAGTTGAGTATTTATTATCCTGTACCTTGCCCATCTGACAACCATGCTAGGGAACTAAGGAAAATATTAATGGAGAAAGATATAAAAAAGTGAAACCCAGATACCCATCTCTGCCAAGGGTTTTCCAGGGAGTTATTTCCAGGAAGAACAAGGCTAGGCAAAAGAACAATTTATTATTTGTTGGCTCTTTAGGCCTGTTCTGGTTATTTATTGCTATGTAACAAACCAACCACCAAACTTAATCGCTTACAACAACAACAAACGCTTGGTGTGGGAACCCCTCCCCCCCACATATTTGGTGACCAGAAGTGTTCAGGGTGAATAGTGCTGCAAGTAGAGAGAGGAGACGTATGGAAGAATTTTCCAAAAAGACCTATCTCACCACACCAGGCAGTTGCATGGAGCCAAGCCAAGGAGGCTAGGATTCATAAAAGACATCATGCTACTCTGATGCTTGAATATTTAACCCCTCTGCTTGTCCATAGTGAAAGATCTAACTCTTAGCACCTTGGTCTTGATTTGTCCCCAAAGAGCTCATTTTGTTTTAGCCTCCTATCAGTGCTCCTACTCCTTGGAGGTGGCAGGGAAGCAGTGAGTTCCACCTAGATGCAAACAACCACCTTCAATGCCACAATAAGTATATATTGAATAAATGGATGTCACCCAGTAGAGAGCCATTCCCTATCTAAACCCATAGATTGAATCCATAGATTAAATAAACTTGATTAATATCTGTTCAGTATACACTACATGCCAAGCATTTCACTTACATTACTTATTTTTTGGATGATATTCAAACTTGTTAATAATCAGTACAATCAGAATATCTCTAGAG